CTGTTTTACTAATAGGTGAACGTGGATAGCAGGTGTCTTAAGGAAACACGTCCTTATGTTTCCACCTGCACCGGGGATCGAACCGCGGACTCCAGTGAGAGCTGAGTGCGCTACCAATCGAGCTACGGGACAGCAATTACAATTTCGTGGTGTGGTATGGAGGTGAGATTGCATTTCTTGCACATGCATTACGACCTCTGAATCACGGGTCATGCCCTCCTGACACTCTCACTGGTTCAGCTCACAATCACGAGGACCTGGGTTCAACTCCAGGCTGGGTGGGGCAAATTAGCACGTCTACTAACACCCACTGTCCCTCGCCTTCAAAGAGCAAATAGGTACCTAAGAGTTAGTTGGCTCCTGTGGGTAACCCGTAGTTGGGTTGGTAGCGTACTCAGCTCACACACTGAGGTCTGTGGTTCGATCCCCTGTACGACTGGAAACATTAGGACGTGTTCCCTTAAGACACCTGCTGTCCCTGTTCACCTATCAGTAAAATAGGTACCTGAGTATTAGTCGACTGGTGTGGGTCGCATCCCGTGGACAAAATTAACCCAAGTTGTCCGAAATGCTCTGCATTTCATGTACTCGAAGAAAAATTATTATTATTATTTTATTGTTATTATTATTATTCTATTCCAGGACAATACTGAACGGCCCCAGTGGAAATAAACCGTATTTAGGGAGTAGAAAGATTCGCTTCAGGGCCCCTAATCCCGCACGGGTCCCAGAAGGGATTTTATTTCACACTGCTTAGAAATTTTGGGTTTGCTAATAATAATAATAATAATAATTTAGTACAAAATAAAAGTTAAAATAAAAGTTATAAGTTAATTAAATTATCACGTAGGCTAACTTTTGATGGGTTGAAGGGGCCCCCATAACAGTTCAAATTTCAGGGCCCCAAAAATGTAGGTCCTCCATTTCACTGTGATCATCCCACTTGTGTGTCTCATTCTCGTACATAATGATGAGAAAAGATGCTAAGCATAATACTGTGTCATTCTTCATAAGTGATACTGAAATGTGTATGAGTGATACGGATGATTCTAGAGTGTGTATGATAGTGGCATACGATACTTGAGTGTGCATGATTGGCAGAGATGATGCTTGAGTGTACATGAGTGGCAGAGATGATGCTTGAGTGTACATGAGTGGCAGAGATGATGCTTGAGTGTACATGAGTGGCAGAGATGATGCTTGAGTGTACATGAGTGGCAGAGATGATGCTTGAGTGTACATGAGTGGCAGAGATGATGCTTGAGTGTACATGAGTGACACAGATATTAGAGTGAATATGAGTGACGAAGATAATACTAAAGTGTGTATGAGTGATGCTGGTGATAAAACAATGTGTTTGAGAGTGACAGACAACACTAGCCTTGACATTCTTGCTGTTGTTCGTAGAGTTAGACGTTCTTAGTTCTGAAGTTGAAGGTTCCGAAGTGGATGCTGTTACCAAAACTAGTTGCCCTCATCAGTACCGCTAACAACGACCTCGTAAACACGTCAACATGGACGACACCCTACGGTGTCACACCTGAAGGACGACACACCAACAGACTCGTCATTATCATCGTGAGAGAACGCAATACGTTCTATACTGTTGAGCCACGTTATGCCTAAGTAGGCCTACCAGCCATCATCATCAGGCCTAGTCTGAGATCAGAGGAAAAGGGCTAATGCTTTCCACTTTAATTTTAATAGTTATTGTGTTGGACTTCTTGCTGAGTGGACTGTGTCTATGACTGAGTCCTAGGTTGTGTCCTAGGCTGTGTTCTAAGTTCTGTCCTAGGCTGTGTTCTAAGTTGTGTCCCAGGCTGTGTTCTAAGTTGTATCCTAGGCTGTGTTCTAAGTTGTGTCCTAGGCTGTGTTCTAAGTAGTATCCTAGGCTGTGTTCTAAGTAGCATCCTAGGCTGTGTTATAAGTTGTGTCCTAGACTGTGTTCTAAGTTGTGTCCTAGGCTGTCCTGGGCTGTGTCCTAAGTTGTGTCCTAGGCTATGTCCTAGGCTATGTCCTAGGCTAGGTCCTAGGCTGTGTCCTAAGCTGTATCCTAGGCTATGTCCTAGGCTGTGTCCTGGGATGTATCGTGGCGGGACTGTGAGCGACGGGTCGCGGCCAGTAACGTAATTACAGCGGCGACCACAAAACACCTGACGCGTTGCGCCTCAGGCGCCGGAAGCCCCCGAGGCGCTCGCGTGCGTCGCTCACGCTGTCCGCACACGCTACTGGTCCACACACACACACACACACACACACACACACACACACACACACACACACACACACACACACACACACACGGGCCATGAGCTATGAATCGACCACTGCAACCACAATTAGGTAAGTACAGAAGTCCAACTATCTATCGACAAGTGCCTTTCACAGAAGGTAGCTACCTAACACACACACACACACACACACACACACACACACACACACACACACACACACACACGATAATGATATTTTTATATGTAATTACGACTCTATTAAGAAGGATTTCCGGTCTTTAGTTCCGTGAGCCGTCGTTACGAGGAGGGGGAAAGAAGAAGGGTGAGGGAGAGGGAAGAGGGAGAGGGGGAGAGGAAGAGTAAAGGAGGGAGGGGGGAAGAGGCAAGAGGAAGCCTGACTGAGAAGGCAGGGGTCAGAGTTCAGGGAGATTACCTTTCGAGGTGATCAGTCCATAGGTAACTGTATTGACACTCACGCCCGCGCTGACACCCACGTCCGTGCTGACACCCACGCCCACACTGACACCCACGCCCGTGCTGACACACCCACGCTGGCACCCATGCCTACATACAGAATGCCGTAATACAAGAGGGCCCCGCTTATACAGCAGGTTAGGTTCTGAGCTACTGCTGTAATTCCAAAAAATCGCTGTAAAGTGAGTCAGCCTTTTTTTTTAACTTTCAAATGTATAAAAACCGAGATAATAACAAGTTTACACCATCATATATTAAGTGAGCAATAGAACTAGGTCTAAAAAAATGCATATATGGTATACACATTACTTACATTAAAATATTTTTATCCTTAGCTTATAGTGAACAGTGAATACATTTATTGTAAGATGTCTGTATAAATGAAGAATGTGCATGACTTAAAAACACTGTATTAGCGAAACGCCGTAAAGTGAAGCGCCGTAAAGCTGTCGTGGGGGTTCGGTAGGAGATATGATGGTTGAAGATAAACACAGTTGTAGATGGTAATGCTATATATATTGTCAGACTGGTAAGAGATGGGGGCCCAGCCTGCCGTGTTACTGCCTGCTTGTATGTCTAAGCGTGGAGTGAGAGCGAGGCAGAGCGTCTCACTAACTCATGCGCATCCCGTGAAGTCATACAGTCACTGGGCTAGGGATCTTTTATATAAACACATGTAAAGGAGGATCAGCAACTATGCTGACAAAGCGGTGCCCTCCTGTATTAGATGACGTAATGCTAGATAGCATTGGTGTAAAAATTAGAACGTAGAGTGACTCAATTGAAAATAAACCCCATAGACTTTATTGCAGTATCTTAAATAAGTCACAGTGACTTTATTGCATTATCCAAGACTTAATAAGTCATATGTTATTAAACTACAGTAAAGATTTTGTCAGTGACAGTGACTTAGAAACTGAGGGAACAATTGTGAGATTATATAGTGAACCCATTGTGAGGGAGGAGGAGGAGAAGAAGAAGAAGAACAAGAAGAAGAACAAGAAGAACAAGAAGAAGAACAAGAACAAGAAGAACAAGAAGAACAACAACAAGATATAATGAAAATAATAATAATAATAATAATAATAATAATAATAATAAGAAGAAGAAGAGAAGAAGAAGAGAAGAAGAAGAAGTTAGTCTGATATATTTTCACATGTTCTTTACATTATTTTGCCCAGGCTGCAACCCACAGTAGGTCACCTAACTCCCAGGTACCTAGTTACAACCAGGTGCTGGCAGACACTTGTGTAATAAAAGGCACAAGAATAAACAACCGTCCTCGGTTGTGGCTGCGGTAACTGCGGGACAGGCGAATAAAAAGCTGCGGTTTTGAAGGCGGCTGCGGTAAATGCGAGATAGAGCCTTTAAATGCGCTGCGGCTGCGGTAGGATGAGGGAGAGGACCCAAACTCCATCGACCTTGAAGACGGCTGCGGCAACTGCGGTAACTGCGAGAAGAGGGTAATCGAGTTAAACTGGCCGCATGCGCTGCGCATCTCACCGGAAAATTGTGCCTCTCTCTCCGCTCTTGTTGCTGGTGAAGAGCTCTTGGTCCCAGGAACTGGAGCTGCCCTCCCCTTTCCTTGGATCAAACCTGATTACCTACCATTGCATGAATCCCCTACGAGTTTAGAGCTTCCCCAAAAATTTGATGATAAAAATAATGAAAATAATAATAATAATACGTACAAGACATCACGTGCAAAAGAACACGTACAAGGTATCACGTGCAAAAGAACACGTACAAAACAGCAGGTTCAAGACAGCACGTACAAGGGAGCACTTGGAAGGGAGATAAAGAACGTGCCTCAGGCAAGAGAGCACGTGCAAAAGAGCACGTGCAAGAGAGCACGTGCAGGCCGGACATCAAGGTGGTTGTGGTTCCTGTTATTAAATCACCAGGACCGGAAGTTACTAAATTGGACACTCACTACCACGCGAAAAAGCGAGAGAGAGAGAGAGAGGAGAGAGGAGAGAGAGAGAGAGAGAGAGAGAGAGAGAGAAACTGAGAGGAGAGGGTTGAAGGATAACAGGGGAAAATTATAACATAAAATAATTGACCACTCTGAGGATGTGCCCTCGTGTACCTGTTTTCCGTCTCTCGAATATCCTGTTCCTCTGTATACTCACCTATTTGTGGTTGCAGGGGTCGACTCTCAGCTCCTGGCCCCGCCTCATCTCTCGTCACTACTAGGTCCACTCTCTCCCTACTCCAAGAGCTTTATCGTACCTCTTCTGTGTGTGTCTCTGTGTGCATTATTCATACGGTTGCGAAATCCTGTTTTCTTACCTGTGAATATAAACACAAGCACAGATGTAAGACCATGTTCTTCTGTGTAGTCAATAGGCGAGCTCCGTCAGCGGTTAAAGTCCCAGACCAGCCCTGTGGTCTGAGGCAGAGAGCAGTTCTGTGGTCTTAGTGACTAACCTATTGGTGTTGGAGAGGTTGTTAAGGGCCATTAAAACTTACCTCCTAGGAGTCGTTGTTATTGTTATTAGCTTATAGGGCCACTGGCGGCTTACACCGTACTGAACCCTACTTCCCGATGGCCACGGAAGAAGCGTAACCCAAAGTTGGACGAAGAGAAGTCCCTTTGCAAATACAATAAGTAACTTAAGGCTCATATTTAGTTATTTTGTTGTTTCAGAGAGAGACCATCCTAAGAACAGGTGTCAGCGTTAAGAGACTATCCAAGAACAACTCTCAGCGCTGAAAGACCACTCCAAAGCAATTCTCAGCATTCAAAGACTTCTTTCCCATCCACAAGATAACTGTCACCGCCTCAACACCAACTTAACTCCGATGTTATCATGCTAATAACTAAACACGGCAAAAGTAAGAGAGCAAATGAGAAACATTCTTTCACCTTACATTTCAAGAAAAATAATTGCCTTGGTAATTACGAGAGTTACATATGCTGCTGAGTTCCTGCCTCTTGAGTGTAACGAGGCACTTACACTGATTACATTGGTACAGTGTTACTCAGCTAGGGTGTCCGCATGGTGTTGGTCATTGGACTACCGCATAGCGGATGTGGCTAACCCACTATTATGGCTTATGTTGAAGAAGAAGGCTTTATTGGGATTATTAACCCCGGAGGGTTATTAGCCGAAGATAACCCAGGCAGTGTGGCTTATTTCCATTGGGGCGTGAGGGGTGGAGGTACACAACTCGGGATAACCCAAAAAACCCAGGCAGTGTGGCTTATATCCTTTGGGTACACTAAGGGGAAAGATAAACCAGGATAACCCAAGAAATTAAACAATTGTGGTTTATTTCCACATGGTAATTTTCCACTCACAACAGTCTCCTGACACCTAGATACCTAATGACTACTAGCTGGACAGGTATCACGTGCTAGGAGGCTTGATCATACGTCGTCTCGTCATGGAACGAACCCGGGTTCTTCGGGTAGGGAACTGATTGTACTGCAAGTGATCTGCAATATGCCAATGTCGAAATAATATCGTCTCTTTATACATAGTGCGCAAAATTTAACCATTATTACTATTAGAATAAAAAATAATGAAATTTCCTGGTTTTTGGAAAGTTGTGAGACCTTTTATTACACTTATCTGAAAATGAAAAGGAGAGAGAAAATTGACGTGGAAATTAAAACTAAAATTGATTTCCATTGAAGCTTATTGGAAAGTGATTGATATACCTCTCGGTGTATATACAGGGTATATACACCGAGAGGTGTATTTTCTCTTAGCAAATATATGCTGAAAGTTTGAACTATATTTTAGGGATTAAAGTATTCTTGTCTGGTGGTGAAGAGGTAAACGAACCTTAACAAGCCTAGTGTACTTGATAGATTGTAAACTCAGTTTACTAACCAATCATTAGCCTGATTGTGTAGAGCAATTTTGAGCATTCTAATACTCTACCTGCTGCTTGGAGTCTACCTGGAGGGTATTCCGGGGGTCAACGCCCCCGCGGCCCGGTCCATGACCAGGCCTCCCTCTCTAAGTTATCATTATAACTAAAAACAAAACAGAATATGTAGTGAAGATCTAGACTGTTGGAGACGGTAGAAGACGAGAAGCAGTAGTTTGAGGAGATCAGTCCATAAGCCTTCGTCGGTCGATATATTTATCAAGTACTGAGCACCTATCCAGGCTGATGGACTAACAGCCTACCAAGACTGAGGGACTGACCACCTATGAAGACTGAGGGACTGACCATCTGTCAAGACCGAGGGACTGACCACCTATGAAGACTGAGGGACTGACCATCTGTCAAGACCGAGGGACTGACCACCTATGAAGACTGAGGGACTGACCACCTATCAAGACTGAGGGACTGACCACCTATCAAGACTGAGGGACTGACCATCTGTCAAGACCGAGGGACTGACCACCTATGAAGACTGAGGGATTGATCACCTGACTAGGCAAGCACCAGACGATCCTGGCCCATGGCCGGGCTCCGAGAATAATTAAATTCTCGAAACTCTTCAAAGGTATACCAAAGGTATCAAGACTGAGGGACTGAGCACCTATCAACACTGAGAGACTGACCACCTATCAAGATTGAGGGACTGATCGCCTCAAACTACTCCCTTGAGGCTTAAATTCTACGTTGCCAGTAATTTATGTATCATCTTCCACTGAAAACGTATTTTCTCACAACATTTACTGCACCACACATGCATTATTAAGATCATCTCAGCGATTTCTTCAGAGCCAAATGTCATCCTGAGATGACGCTTAAGACAGATGAAAACAGCCATTCGCACCCGCCCGTCTTCCGTAACTGAGAAAAAAAACTGCAAATCGCCCCCAAGTATCTTTAAACGCCGTAGTGGAGGGCTGGAATGCTTCCAGCGAAGGAGGTAAATTACATTTTTTCGTGAAGTAGTCGGGTGAAGCATCCAATATGTATCGTAAGAATGGTACACTGGTGGAGCATAACACCGTGACTCGCCACCACAGACAACATTGGTCCCAAAGGCACAGCCAATGAGCGCCCAGTACACTTGCCACTTACAGCAGTAAAGCTCAGTGGAGCGTGAAACGGCATCATGTGAGCTCTCTCAAGGTAGTTAATTCCAGGCATCGTTACAGTTCTTCACTACCCACACGTCACGACCAGGAACAACATCGCTAACCACTCAATTGGACATTAACGACCATTTAATGTATTAAGCTGAACACCAGAGGGGAAAAACTACGCCTTGCTGAACGTGGTTATATTTTCGACAACGTTTCGCTCTGTGTACAGCGTAACGGTGTCCCAAAACAAGCTTCTTCTTCCAATAAAGGAAGCGTTTCGGCCAGTAAATCTTATAACAATAGAGGAAAAGAGAAGTTCAACGTCTATAGTCTCCTGTTCATCTTAACATAATAATAATAATAAATGATTATTATTATTATTTACACAAAAGGATGCTAAACGCGAACGGGTCATACAACGTCAATCCAAAAATAATTTTCCAAAAATCTCCTCTTAATGATGCATACGGATTTAACGACCCATAAATTAAAATAGTGAAAAAAACTAACATTTTTATTCACCATGATGCATGTTTTGATGTGTATTGTGATGTTTACAATGTTAATTTATTGTTACAAACAAGTGCTGCGCAACATATCAATGTTTGGCGATTTCTTAATTATTATTATAATCAAGGGGGAAGCGCTAAACCCGGAGGATTATACAGCGCCTGGGGGGGGGGGTGTGGAAGGCATTCAGGCTTAATTCGGGGAACTGGAGCACAGACCCAATTCCCTAAATCAAGAGCCCCTCACCAACATCAAGGAACCTTCCTTGAGGGGGCGATTTCTTAAGCAAGTAGCAACGAGAACACAGAACACTGAGATATATAAGTCTCTCGGTGTATATACACAGAGAGGTGTATGTCTCTTGATGTATATACATTGAATGATGTATATATCTCTCAGTGTATATACATTGAGGTGTATGTCTCTTGATGTATATACCTTGAAAGATGTATATCTCTCAGTGTATATACACTGAGGTGTATATACACTTGATGTATATACCTTGAAAGATGTATATCTCTCAGTGTATATACACTGAGGTATATATACACTTGATGTATATACCTTGAAAGATGTATATCTCTCAGTGAATATACACTGAGGTGTATATACACTTGATGTATATACCTTGAAAGATGTATATCCTCAGTGTATATACACTGAGGTATTATACACTTGATGTATATACCTTGAAAGATGTATATCTCTCAGTGTATATACACTGAGGTGTATGTCTCGATGTATATACCCTGAAAGATGTATATCTCTCAGTGTATATACACTGAGGTGTATGTCTCCTGATGTATATACCTTGAAAGATGTATATCTCTCAGTGTATATACACTGAGGTGTATGTCTCCTGATGTATATACCTTGAAAGATGTATATCTCTCAGTGTATATACACTGAGGTGTATATACACTTGATGTATATACCTTGAAAGATGTATATCTCTCAGTGTATATACACTGAGGTATATATACACTTGATGTATATACCTTGAAAGATGTATATCTCTCAGTGTATATACACTGAGGTGTATATACACTTGATGTATATACCTTGAAAGATGTATATCTCTCAGTGTACATACATTGAGGTGTATGTCTCTTGATGTATATACCCTGAAAGATGTATATCTCTTAGTGTATATACACTGAGGTGTATGTCTCCTGATGTATATACTTGAAAGATGTATATCTCTCAGTGTACATACATTGAGGTGTCTCTTGATGTATATACCCTGAAAGATGTATATCTCTTAGTGTATATACACTGAGGTGTATGTCTCCTGATGTATATACCTTGAAAGATGTATATCTCTCAGTGTATATACACTGAGGTATATATACACTTGATGTATATACCTTGAAAGATGTATATCTCTCAGTGTATATACACTAAGGTGTATGTCTCAGTGTATATACACTAAGATTATACTTTAATCCCTATTTTAGGTATTACAGTATTCTTGACTGGTAGTGAACAGGTGACCTGCAGTCTTAAAGACCCTCGCGAAGTCGATAGACTTCAACCCCAACCATCTCACCCTCGCGAAGTCGATAGACTTTGCACCCAATTAACCAACCAACCTACTCACCCTCGCGAAGTCGATAGACTTTACACCCAATTAACCAACCAACCTACTCACCCTCGCGAAGTCGATAGACTTTACACCCAATTAACCAACCAACCTACTCACCCTCGCGAAGTCGATAGACTTTACACCCAATTAACCAACCAACCTACTCACCCCCGTGAAGTCGATAGACTTTACACCCAATTAACCAACCAACCTACTCACCCCCGTGAAGTCGATAGACTTTACAACCAATTAACCAACCAACCTACTCACCCTCGCGAAGTCGATAGACTTTACACCCAATCAACCAACCAACCTACTCACCCTCGCGAAGTCGATAGACT